GTGTAGATGCACCCTGGTTTTCTCTTTACCCTGCTTCAAACATATTGGAGATATGTGTGTAAAGGAGTGAGCCATCTACAAAGGAGTATCTTCCACCATGAAAAACATTGTTTGGTAATGTTGTGAAGGAAAATAGAGGCTGGCTCACTTGTTCATGGTAACCACTAGATAAAGAAACACGACACTTACCTGTTTCCTACTTCTCTGTCCTTTGGGGAGCAGTGCTTTGGACTTCTCTGCAATTTTCTGCCGATATGGGGAAAAAATAATGGTAGAATTATAGGTTGGAACTGAATAGAAATGCATCAGAATCTTGTTTATTCATAATATACTTTTGGGAAGGGGGAGGAATAAAACGAGATGGAGATAAACTAGCCATTTGATTTGGAAACAAGGGGCTATGCTTTGGGGGGGAAAAGTACTAGGCTTTTGAGAAACTAAAAGTCATGTCAACTTCAAGGATGGCAGGATTATGGAAAGCAAACACTATATTTTAAAGGTGAAGTGTGGAAAAGTGGCAATTTGTCATGCCAAAAAGTCTCCAGACACACCCAGGCCATTCAGAAAAGGGGAGGGGAAGGCCATAGGCAATTCCAGCACATTGTAATTTATTTAAAACTAAATGCACAGGTAGAATGTCACATGTTTAGCTTCAGGTAGAATATGTAATTCAGTAAAGGAAGTTCTTTGTGAGGTAGCAGTATTGCTTTGAAGTTTTTGGGTCAACTCTCCAAGTGGTTGCATTTTTCCCAGAGTCGCAAAATGGCAACACTGGAAAGCAGGTGAACCCAACAAGCCATGAGCTAGCAACCTCAACTTTGGGGCTGCAAAAGATAAATTTCCTCCCACGCAGGTTGCCAGGGTGGAGTGGCTTCCTGTAACTTTAAGTGTGGACAGATTGTGGAAGAGGATGAGGAGGACCTGTTCACCTCCATGGAAGGATGAAGCTACCTTTCAAGTTTCAACTCTTAACTATAGCCAGCCCATTCCAACACAGCTTATTTTCCAGTAAGTAAACAGAAATATTACGTGATGTCAATAACAATCACAGATTTGGTGGTCTTCTGGATGTCCTCCCCCCATGCCTCAGCAATAGTCATGTTGGGAGGACATGACTGTGGCCAGACATTGGAGCTTGGAATGTAAGAGATTATCATTTGGTCATCATTTGGTTGACTGAGCTGTATGGTATCTTCTCCTGACCTTCTTCAAGACCAAGCTACAGGAGGCACATCAAGTATTCAACTTGGAAGCCGTACCCACCAAAAATAGCTAACACCAACCATGGCAAGTTCATAATCTCTCCTTGTTTGCAGACACATCATATCAGCCGTGAGAGAAATTGCAGAAGCACTAACCATGTGATTTGGAAATAAGGGGGTGTGGACATATCTGAAGTACTTAAACAGAATTGTGGTCAAAAAATAAATGGGAAATGTCATAGAAGCAAAGAGTTGGAAGAGACCTCATGGGCCATCCTTCCAACCCCCTGCCAAGAAGCAAGACAATTGCGTTCAAAGCACTCCCAACAGATGGCCATCCATCCTCTGTTTAAAAGCCTCCATAGAAGGAGCCTCCACCACATTCCGGGACAGAGAGTTTCACTGCTGAACAGCTCTCACAGTCAGAAAGTTCTTCCTCATGTTCAGATGGAATCTCCTTTCTTGTAGTTTGAAGCCATTGTTCCACATCCTAGTCTCCAGGGAAGCAGAGGGAAGTTTGCTCCCTCCTCCCTATGATTTCCCCTCACATATTTATACATGGACCTCATCATGTCTCCTCTCAGCCTTCTCTTCTTCAGGCTAAACATGCCCAGCTCTTTAAGACGTCCTCATAGGGCTTGTTCTCCAGACTCTTGATCATTTTAGTTGCCCTCCTCTGGACACATTCCAGCTTGTCAATATCTCATTTCAATTGTGGTGCCCAGAATTGGACACAGTATTCCAAATGTGGTCTAACCAAGGAAGAATGGAGGGTGTAATGAATCCCTTACCTTAGCTAGCTGACTGATAGCATAGGAGAGTGGGCCTGGCGAAGCCACAGTGACCATTTTAGAAAAGGGAGACAGGGAGAAGCCATTTTGGTTAGGTTTGCATTGAGGGGGCATGTTCAAGTCTTGGAGGGAAAATAAGAAGGCTAGGATTGGCTAGGAAGATGGGGGCGAACCTTAAGTGTTTAGAGGAAGTCCCAGTTTTAGTCAGTTGGAGTTTGGAACTGTTAGAGAGAAAAAGTGCTGGTGTTAGTGAGAGCGAGTTTGGGTTTAGAGAAGAAGACCGGGTTAGTCTTTTGTGAAGTATTCAGCGTAGCTATTGAGTAAACAGCTAGAATACTGTGGAGGAGCAGTACCCTGTTAGTGGTCTGTTCAATTCCTACAGAAGTCTAGTTCAGGGTATTTTTGGCTTGATTCCTAAGGGGGCATTTTTGGGAGTTACTTTAATTTGTACCTGATTATTTTAAGCCTGTTCAATAAACGTTCTTGTTATTTTATCAACTTATACCAGCTTCAGTGTGAATACCTTTGTGGTAAAAGTATTACTAAAGTCAGCTTCACAGCAGCTTCTAAGAAATTATAGTGGCACAGTGTGTATTACAGAACAAACTCTCTATATTACCTCAGCCTGGTTAATAGTAAAATGATGGCAGTGGATTTCATTTGAAGAATCATATTAAGTCTCTCAGTTCCGGTGGTTCCCAGTTCCTAACTTTTAAATATACAGTTGGTTCAGCAACCAGACTCCCTCTTCCTTTTGAGAAGAGGGAGTATGGTTATAATTTTGGCTGAGCAGCGTTGGGATTATTTTCTATATTTTTCCCCATCTGTAAATTATTTGAAAAAATCTTTACTTCGTTGCTTTATTATAGAGGGGTTCCATGACTTCCCTGGATCTAGACACTAGACTCCTATTGATACAGGCCAAAATCCCATTGGCTTTTTTTTGCTGTAGCATCACATTATTGGCTCATGTTTAACTTGTTGTCCACGAGGACTTCAATATATTTTCACACGTACTGCTCTCGAGCCATGTGTCCCCATTCTGTATCTTGGCATTTCCTTTTTTTCTGCCTAAGTGGAGTATTTTGCATTTCTCCCCATTGAACTTCATTTTGTTAGTTTTGGCCCATTTCTCTAATCTGTTAAGATCGTTCTGAATTCTGTCCTAATTATATAGGCTGCCTAGTTGTGATCTAGTTTGTGAAATGCAATGTTGAAGTCATGATTTGCAAACCTAGTTCATGTTGTGATTTCAAATATTGATTTAGTGATTGTCCTCCATGATAGTCTAACTTAGCCTCCCCCAAAGTCTAATGACCTATTATTCTCAGCAACTATAACTGAGATGGGCAGAGATAAAGAATGACGGAATAATGCATCTGATGGGCACTACGTTGGTGATGGTTGATATCAGACTAAATGCAATACTTAGCTGTGGTTTAAGAAATATTGTGACTTAAATATGACGCCTGTTTAGTAAAACATTAAAACCATGGGCAGAACATTCTTTAAAAAGGATGGAAATTTGTTACTTAATTTTCACATCCACACAAAGATATTATCAAAAGTTTTATCCCAATTAGGCAAGTGTGTGAGCATTGTTGTGCACATTATATGATGCCTTTTGAACTATAGGACTTTTCTGTGAAAAATCTGAGTTTTTGCATTAAAAGTTAGAATTTTTAACAGGAAACTGAAATCAAAGTTAAGTTGAGCAAACAAATGTTTTTCAAAAAGTCCCAATGGCATCTCACTCTGTTACAAACCCCTTTTGCATCAAGGGCAATGATATCGTTAAATCCCTGTGTACCCTCCATTTCAACACAGTTTATATATACCAAAGGCACAACCTGGGAATCTCTCTTTACCTTTTGAACGGTCCCATACCGCTGAATGGCATCAGAAAGTTGGTTCTTCAGGCGGTCCAGTTGAAGCCGCTCTTGCTACATAAAGCAAAAAGATAAAAAACAAACACTATTAACACAGGAAAAGGGGTCTTTATGTTTGTGTCATCAGTCATTTGCAGACAATGTAATTCAGGGACAACTCTGAGTCCTAAACTGAACATAAGTTCAAGCATATAAGGTCTATGGGGAGACATGACTTTGAACCTTCTCAGCAATGAATATCTCCTAGTGATCTTGATCCAATTACTGTTTCTCAAAGGGTTTGGTGTGTATGACCTTGAGTTTTGGAGTTGTAGTTCACCTACATCCAGAGAGCACTGTGGACTCAAACAATGATAGATCTGGACCAAACTTGGCTGAATACTCAATATGCCCAAATGTGAACACTGGTGGAATTTGGGAAAATAGACCTTGACATTTGGGAGTTGTAGTTGCTGGGATTTATAGTTAACCAACAATCATAGAGCGTTCTGGACTCCACCAACGATGGAATTAGTCCAAACTTGGCACACAGAACTCCCATGACCAATAGAAAATACTGGAAGGGCTTGGTGGGTATTGTTCTTGAGTTTTAGAGTTGTAGTTTACCTTCATCCAAAGAGCACTGTGGATGCAAACAATGATGGATCTGGACCAAACTTGGCACAAATTCTCAATATGCCCAAATGTGAACACTGGTGGAGTTTGGAGGAAAATAGACTTGACATTTGGGAGTTGCAGTTGCTGGGATTTATAGTTCACCTACAATCAAAGAGCATTCTGAACCCCACCAATGATAAAAATTGGGCCAAACTTCCCAAGCAGAATCCCCATACCTTGAGGGGACCTGCTGGATGGAGCCTTCCTCCAGCCTCACATGCTCTCCCTTGCCTCACACATGTGCACCATGCTGCCATGCGCCGAGCACGCCTTCTCTCCCCTCCCCACTTGAAGTCTTCAAAACACCCTTCCTCTTTGCTGCAAGGCCGGTTGAAAGGATGGCCAATCACAGCGGAGGAAGACTTTTGGTGGGAGGATTCACCACTGTCTTTTTCCAGAAAGGAAGAGAAGGACAGATGGAGAGATCTTCAGCCTTCTCTGCCAAAGGGATTCCTAAGACCATCAGAAATAAATGTTTTCTGATGGTCTTTGGACCCTCTGAAACCCCCTCATGACCCCCCCCCCCTCCCCCCCCCCCCAATTGAGAAACGCTGGTATAGAAGAACAAGACCCAATGGGTAACATTTTGATAAGGGCATTTTTAATTGTTTCACAAGGTCTTTCATGCATTGAACCTGTTGGCTGTGCTAATCTGCTGCCTTTAACTGCTCGTGTTTGGTTTAATTTAGATATTTTATGTTATTGGCAGGTGTGTTTTACTGTCCTTTCAATTTGATTCATGGGCCTGTGCCATTTTGAGGGCTTGCCTGGGCCATATTTCCTCCAATCTATGGCTCCCACTGAACAAATTGCTATTCTCAGTAAACAAGATTTAACGCCTTGGTGTCAGTTTTCTTTCATTAAGAACATCATGCCATTGTGAAAGTGAATCACAAAGTCCTGTTTCATTGCAGTGCCAGGGCAAAGATGCAAGGACATTCCATTGTACGCAGCTGACAAATACTCTTGCAAATGCAATCACCGGAAAAGGAATCCGCTGCCAGGGCTCGTAGTCCTGGACAAAACGCTTCTGAATGATAAAAATGCATACAGAGAGTAACTGTAGATAGATAGATGATGGGGAGCACTGATTGTTATTTATATTGTGTGAGGAATGAATAGGAAAAGAGACATAAGCAGGGAGACCATGATTGCATTTAAAATATGCTGATCAGATGTGTACGACTGAACAAAATGCACAGGACAGTAAGAAAGGTGTCACACAGCTATGTAATTCAGAGAATGACTGTAAGCAAGACACATAAGGGATATAATTCCAAGCAACCAGGGAAAGCAATGTTTTGCCAGGGAATCAATATTGAGGAGCATTTCCATGCTTATATTGTAAGAGGAAAACTCTACTTTCAGATTGTTATTTCTTATCAAATAGGGCCAGTGGTTTCTGAACCTGGGGGTCGGGACCTCTGGGGGGGCGCCAAGGGGTGCCAGAGGGGTCACCAAAGACCATCGGAAAACACAGTATTTTCTGTTGGTCATGGTTCTGTGTGGGAAGTTTGGCCCAATTCTATCATTGGTGGTTCAGAATGCTCTTTGATTGTAGGTGAACTATAAATCCCAGCAACTACAATTCCCAAATGTCAAGGTCTATTTTCCCTAACACCACCAGTGTTCACATTTGGGCATATTGAGTATTTGTGCCAAGTTTGGTCCAGATCCATCATTGTTTGAGTCCGCAGTGCTCTCTGGATGTAGGTGAACTACAACTCCAAAACTCAAGGTCAATGCCCACCAAACCCTTCCAGTATTTTCTGTTGGTCATGGGAGTTCTGTGTGCCAAGTTTGGTTCCATTCCATCATTGGTGGAGTTCAGAATGCTCTTTGATTGTAGGTGAACTATACCCAAACGTATCCTCCCCTATGAACCATCAAGATTGCTAAGATCGTCTGGAGGGGCCCTGCTCTCGATCCCACCGGCCTCACAGGCGCGGCTGGTGGGGACGAGAGACAGGGCCTTCTCGGTGGTGGCCCCTCGACTCTGGAACTCCCTTCCACTGGAGATCAGAACTGCCCCTTCTATCTTAACGTTCAGGAAACAGGTGAAAACTTGGCTTTGGGGATTGGCATTCGACGAATGAGCCATGATCCTGTGATATGGATGGATGACGACGAATAATGATTTTTGATGACGACTGACCACTGTAATTATAGGATTGTATTTTGCTATTTTAATGTTTTAGTGTGATTTAGAATATGATGTTTTAATGACTGTCTGTAATATTGATGTTGGAAACCGGCCTGAGTCCCTCGAACGGAGGGACTTCAACTCCCAACCCCACTTCAACTTCAACTCCCAACCCCACCAGTATTCAGATTTGTGCATATTGGGTGTTTGTGCCAAATTTGGAGCAGTGAATGAAAATACATCCTGCATAATATATAAATTTACATTACGATTCATAACAGGTGAAAAATTACAATTATGAAGTAGCAATGAAAATAATGTTATAGTTGGGGGTCTCCGCAACATGAGGAACTGTATTAAGGGGTCGCAGCATTAGGAAGGTTGAGAACCACTGAAATAGGCATTGACTCGAGGTGACCTGAGAGTCCTGTCCATCAGCTGGATTCACAAAGTCTGATAAATCCAGAACTGGATTATATGGCAGTGTAGATCCAGCCACATTCCTTAAAACCTCATTGAGTCACCAATAGTATAGTTAATCTATATAAATAAAAATGTAATGTTCATTTGTGGGATTAACAGAACTCAAAAACCACTGGACGAATTGACACCAAATTTGGACACAAGACACCTAACAGCCCAATGTATGTCCTTCACTCAAAAAATTGATTTTGTCATTTGGGAGTTGTAATTGCTGGGATTTATAGTTCACCTACAATCAAAGAGCATTCTGAACCCCACCAACGATGGAATTGAACCAAACTTGGCACACAGTTCTCCCATGACCAACAGAAAATACTGGAAGGGTTTGGTGGGCAGCATCCTTTGGTTTTGGAGTTGTAGTTCACCTACATCCAGAGATCACTGTGGACTCAAACAATGATGGATCTGGACCAAACTCTACACGAATACTCAATATGCCCAAATGTGAACACTGGTGGAGTTTGGGGAAAATAGAATCTTGACATTTGGGAGTTGTAGTTGCTGGGATTTATAGTTCACCTACAGTCAAACAGCATTCTGAACACCACCAACAATAGAATTGGGCCAAACCTCCCACACAGAACCCCCATGTGGGCTACAGAAACACGTGGCGGGGGGACGGCTAGTGTGTGTGTGTGTCTGTGTATACACACACACACACACACAATATTTGTTCAGCCCGCCTTTCTCAGCCATATGGCAACTCAAGGCAAGTTACAGATTGGCACAATTCGATGTCAGGGATTCATAAAAGTGCCATTAAAAACATCCACATTACAATATAAAACATATATAAAAACAATTTAAGCATATAATCATCGGTGTTATCTTGTTAAAAACGTTATCCAGTAGCATCGTCTGGCCATTCCATGTTCATTATTCATAGTTCCGCTGCATTCTCAAAAGCTTGCTCAAAGAGCCAGGTCTTTACTTTTTTCGGAAAGTCAGAAGGGAAGCTGACACAACAAAGGAGTAGTGTGTTCCCTGAGCGCCGCTCCTGTTAGTAACCTGGCTGCCGCCCACTGGGCCATTTGAAGCTTCTGAACAGTCTTCAAAGGCAAACCCACATAGAGCATGTTGCAGTAGTCTATACAGGATGCAACTAGAGCATGGACCACCGTGGCCAAGTCAGACTTCCCAAGGTATGGGCGGAGCTAGCACACAAATTTTAACTGTGCAAATGCTCCCCTGGTCACCGCCGAAAATTGGGGGTTCCAAGCTCAGCGATGATATACTATCAAATATGGCTATTCAACTTCTGTCTAAACACTTTCAAAGAAGAAGAGTGCATAATCCTCTAAAGCAGTCTATTTCACTCTCAAACAGCTCCTATTACCAAGAGGTTCTTCTTAATGTTTACACTAGTATTGTGAACCTGTAGGTGCACCCAACCCTTACCAAGGAATACAATGACTTTTGAATAAACATGCATAGACCTATTATACAAGTTTTGTTTTATTTGGGCAATGCAAAATATAGATTTTTTATTTTTACTTCTACACTCTTCATTCAGGTGCTCCAGAGAAATCAATATGTGGCAGCATTAAGAAAAGAAATCAAACCAAACACAAGCAAAGTGATCTATTGATTCAACAGGCTGACAACACTGATGATGGTTGTAGTTTAGAGATGCACTTGCTTGTATATTCTTTAAAAAAACAAACTATTATCCCATCCGATAGAACAGTGGCTCTCAACCTGTGGGTCCCCAGGTGTTTTTGCCTACAACTCCCAAAAGTCCCAGCCAGTTTACCAGCTGATAGGATTTCTG